TTCTCTCTCATTTTATTGGCAATGATAGAAAAAAAATCATCATAAACTGACCAAGTACAGTGAGAAAGAGCTTTCTTTGCCATAATGGTGGAATTGCATATTATTAGAAGTTTCTTGAAGAAAAGTTGCACAGTGATAATATCAATGTAAAATTTGTGGTTACTTTAGCCTACTAATTATTCTTCTAGGAATTTATTTCAAGGAGATAATTAGACAAGTGCTGCTAGGTTCACATACAAAAAATATAATGTGCAGTATTATTAATAATACCAAATATTTACAAACAAACTAGATATTCACAAAAGAATACTGTTTAAATAGCTCATGGTATGCTAGACAATAAAGTCCTGTTAGCTTACTTAAAAGAATGACATAAATCTAAAATCCATAATGTGGAACTTTCTCCACATTGTTTAATAACAAAAAGGTTTTCCATCTGTAAACCTGCTTGTGCATGTAATATATGTGCAATATACCTAGAATAAACTTTACTGAACCACTGGTGCATGGTGGCTCTTTCTGCCTGGTGAAATTTCACGTGTTTTTTCTTTTTTTCATTTTTTGTGTATCTTTATTATTTGAATTTTTATAATGAACACATGATATCTTTAGAAGTAGGAGATGAGCTTTTGTTTGTTTGTTTGTTTGTTTAGACTGAGTTTTGCTAAGGGCATGTTTGCTTGCTGGAGAGACAGAGAGCAAGAAATCACACCTCCCACCGAGGGATTGCCACCTGCAATCCTTTCTCCATTCTCTTCATGGGATTTTGGGCATGCATGCACATGTGCCTGGCATGAGTTTCAAGCTGCCGGGTCTGGGATTCAAACTGCGGTTGACTGCATGAGAGTCCAGTGATGTAACCACTACACCATCTGCTGGTCCCACTGTTTTTAATAATTAAAAGGAAACATCTAAAGGGTATATACATTTGCTAGAGAAAAAGCAGGGCTAACACCAGAATAATGACTGACTTTCAAGCAAGAAATCACACCTCCCACCGAGGGATTGCCACCTGCAATCCTTTCTCCATTCTCTTCATGGGATTTTGGGCATGCATGCACATGTGCCTGGCATGAGTTTCAAGCTGCCGGGTCTGGGATTCAAACTGCGGTTGACTGCATGAGAGTCCAGTGATGTAACCACTACACCATCTGCTGGTCCCACTGTTTTTAATAATTAAAAGGAAACATCTAAAGGGTATATACATTTGCTAGAGAAAAAGCAGGGCTAACACCAGAATAATGACTGACTTTCAAAAGAGAAATGTTGGGAGGAGTTTAAAAACAGCTTGTCGGTCTTGGAGAAAAAGATAAGTCCTTCCTGGTCCCGGAGAAGGAAGGAAACCCCAGTGTTTAGAGGCCTGTGCACAAGGTTCAGTCCTCAGGTTCAAACATCAGTTCTATCACCTACCAGATGAGCAACTTACAGCAAATTACTTAATCTTCTGTGCCTCTATTTCCTCATTGGTAAAATCGAAGACTGATAGCACTTGAGAGTCACAAAGCTTAAAGAAGAGAGTGAAACAGAAAGCACCTATCACAATGCCTAGCACATAATCAGTGTTCACTAGACATTAGCTCTTATGGAACAAACTTCAGACAATTGTAGCCTGTGTGAGTGAGTTAACGTTCCAGAATAAAGCACTAATGAATTATTAAGGAGAAGGAAAAGGTAAAGCATAATTAGGCAAAGACAAAAGTAGACATATAAATATCTAGTCTCAGCAGTACAAACATGAAAGATGTAAGTTGCATAGTTTCAAACATGTGACAATCTCACAAATCTCAACTGTTTATAAAACAGGGATAATATACAGAAGGTTCTTTAAGGATTAAATGTCAAGTGTGAACACAGCACTTGGTAATAATAAGTTTCTAGTAAGTATCTGCTACTATTAAATAAAAAGTAATATTGATCAGGTAGTGAGCCCCTTAATCACTATAGTTATCTAAGCAGTCTTAATTAGTACTTGAAGAGGAGAATACAGAGATTTAGTCATGGAATGAGGGCATAGACTACTAGATTCTTACAGACTTAAAAATCCTATAAAAAGTAATTGAATCATAGAACTAATTCTTTTTTTGAGATTGTTGTACAGAGCGACCATGAAACCCAGAACCAGCAAGTTCATCTCTCCAAATAGTTCCATGATATGCAGCTCTTAGAGACCAGCCCAGCTTTTCAGACAGGTTAGGCAAGTGTGAGGTAGTTTCCCCAAACTCTGGTTATTTTCTAACCCAAATGTGGCCCTACCTTCTCTGGAAAAGCATTGGATGGTGCTTCTTCCATCGTTAGGACTTAGAGTGTCTCGTAAGCATTGCTGAAAGCCATGGTCTCTTTCCCCAAAAATATGCACATCCACACCTTGGCATTCACAGGGCAACCTTGTTACAGGTGAACAAACAGTAGAAACTGTAATAATAGCAAGCACATACAAGTTGCTTACTGTATGCTGGGCTCTGGAACAAGAATTTTAGGGGTTTTCTTAGAATTATTTATTTATTTATTATATTAATTCACCAGAGAGAGAGAGAAAGTGAGAAATTAAGCCACCAGGTCTGGGACTCAAACTGCAGTTGATCATATGGGAGCCCAGCACCTTAACCACTACACCACCTTCTGGCCCCCCCTAGACTGAGAGCTTCACATGCATTGTTTCAATGACTTCACATCCAACTCATGAGTCTATTCTGAGTGTCCCCATTTTATAGATGAAAAAACAAAAGCAACAATAACATGAAGTCCTTTAGCTATTAAGGGGACAGGGCTTGAATGCAGTTCTAAGGTAAGCTCAGAATGTGAGGAGAAGTCAGTTGCAGAGGCTGATGACAAGCTGACAACTCATTTACATTTTAGGACCTGCCAAACCTTCCCCCAACCCCTATCACTTTAGTTGGACTCTCTCAAGGCAGCTGGGAGCAGGGAAATCCAGAGTCACCATGGGTAGTATCTAATTTCTTGGGAGGCAGAAGAAAAAGAGACAAAGTGTAGGCTGTACCAATAAACTGAGCAGGTACTCCAAATGGCAGGATGGAGAAACCACGCTGTTTTGGGAGCAAAGGACCCTTTATTTAGAGAAGCCAGAGGTTTTGACCTGTAAAATAAGGCTAGGTGCTGCAGACAGAATACTCTCTTAGAGTTATTCAAATACTTGTAAACTATTTTATCACTTTTATTTTCTTTTAAAATCTCTTTGTACACCCAGGTAGGCCTGGAACTCACCTGATCCTAGGGCTGCGGGTATCTGACTTGCAGCAAACCCTCTGGTTTTGCCATAGCAAGACCAGGGGATAGTCTTTTGCATCACTTTAGACCTACAGGGGCCTTTAGATCCTGTTCTCAAGTCGCCGATATCACTTGTCCACATGCCAACATTTCGCAAAAAAGACGGTCATAACCTCACGGTGAAGAACATGGATTTGAGAATCACAAAAACCTGGGTTCAAACCACAGCTCGCCTACTGAATACTTACCCTCTGAGCCTCAATTTCCTTATCATTCCAAGGGAGATAATAACACCTCAGAAATGTATCACAAGGATTAAATGAGATGATACAATATTGGAAAAGCAATAGGATATAGGGGCTAAGAGCACAGGTTTTGGGGCTGGACTGACTAGATTCAGATTTTGGCTCTATCACTAGCTGGGTGTCTTTAGGTAAGTTTCTTCATCTTTCTAAGCCTTCAAGTGAGACGTGGAAACAAAGATAGTCTCCACCCCTGTAGGGTAGTTTTGTGATGAATGAATGAGTTACGATTTGGAGAGTACTTAGAATAGCACCTGTCATGTTAGTGAGCTCTCAATACAAGAGAGTTGCTATGATTAATGAAGGTAAAGCCTCAGCATGGTAAAAATAAGTGTTCAATAAATGGTGGTTGTTATGATTACAAGGTATACTTTCCTCAGAGAATTTGATGTGCATTTATCTCCTGGAAAGAAAAAACTGAAGATACCAGGGGAAGATCTTGTCCTTCAGTAAAGGTTGTAGTCATAGCAAAGAGAACCCACAGGTCCTGTTGCCCTGCAGCCTACCCTGGGACTTCTACATCTCTCCATGCTCAGTTTCTCCTTTGCTTCCAAAGGACCAACCCTTCATTCTGCCATCCACTTGTTCAACAAATGCTCTTTAAGCCTCCTCCGTCCCGAAGCCAGAAGGAGGGCACTGAATGAGACAGCAGCAGCCCCTGCCCTCCTGGAATTTACAGGACAGTGGAGGAGATGTGTAGTAAGGAAATACACATGCAAATGATTATTTGGTGACAGCTGCAATTTCTATTGCGAAGGGTGTGATGAGAATGTAAGGTGGAAGTCCTGATGTGGCCTAGCATGCCAGTGTAGTAAAGGGGGAAGTGAGTGTAAAGGCTCCCTGAGAAAGTGACATTTAAGCTAGAATTTCATGATGGACAGGAGTTGGCTGGATGGTGCCTGGGAGCAAAGGGAGGAAAGGATCAAGGTAGATAAGGTACTTTGTTCCAAGGCCCTGCATCCACAAGGTTCCTGGCTCACCAGAAGAACAGAGAAAGGTGCCTAGACCTTTCGCTCAAAAATATTCAGCTAGAAGGTTGAAATTTGGAGATAAATGTGGGCCCACAGGAATTGTTTTCTCAATGGTGACTATTGTCACTTCCCTTTCAGGTGCTCCTTGTCTGCTCACAAAGACTGCCTGGTCTCACGTACTGACCCTGTGGACCCAGTGAAGGCTGTTCTCAGCTCAACAGTCCAGAGACTGCACACATGGCCTACTTGGCCCACACGTGAACTTCTGCCGAGATACCATGAGAGGGACTCTGCCCTCTGAATACCCTCTGATGCCTCAATGCTGTCCTGGCCATACCCCACTGGGCTTTGTGAGGCTATTTAGGAAGATAAATTTTCCTCACTGAAAAGAAGGGAAAAAGCATGAAAGAAAGCAATGGCCTCCAAGGAGGAATTTGTGATTGACATAAATGGAGATGCTTCCTTAGGAACATCATGTTTCATCAAAGAAGTAACCCTTCAGGTCATTTATTTCTCCGCCTATTTACATGCTGTGGAAAGAAGATGTGTTTAAGCTTCCAGTAGTTTCATGCTGGAAACTGATACTCCAGGAAAGAAAGCAGGATGTTCTAGACCAAGATTTCTTTTGGAATTCACACATTGGTCATCTGGCGCTCTTTCCTAAATGGTACTTCTGTTATCGTTCAAGACAGCAAGCTTCTTCCAGGTTCAGAAGCACCTGACGGTCTCCTTTGATAAACAGCCCACCAGCTCTCTTCATAGATCAGATGTTTAATAATTAGCTTGACTCATTGTTTATTTAAGTAGCAATCATGACTTGGATGAAATAATACTCTAACTACAGGAGAAGCATAGGGACGGCTCCTAAGTCAAATCTACAGGCTGGGAATGGCCAGCAAGGCTGGCCATTCTAGGAGGAGAGGACCTGTCTGTCCTGGCTGGCAGTTCTCTATGTTTGAGATGCCATCATCAGATGCTGCACCAAAGACCTAAGGGAGATGTGCCCAAGAGAAGCATACGGTCCCATTCCTGTCCACTGAGGCTCAATGGCCCAGCAAAATATGAAAGTGAGACCTGTGCTTCTAAAGCGTAACAGCCTCGAGTCAGTGGAGTTTGTGAAACAACCTCACCACCGCAGGAGCAAATCCCAGCAGGTTCGATTCAAGGAAGATGGGGCCACTAAGAATCCAACCAGCCTAGCTGAGGTTGATGTCCAGACTCCTGAAGACCCGGTTGTAATGGGGAAGACTCAAGCATCCAGGCACCATCATCCCCCCACCTACTCACTCTCCTTCCCCAGGTCCCAGAAGGCAGGGGGTTTTCGGAACATAGCGATCCAAACCTCCCCCAGTCTCAGGAAGCATTTTCCGGTTTTCAAGAGGAAAAAACTCACAGCCAGCAAGTCCCTGGTGGAAATGCCGACAGCATCCCAAAGTGCCATTCAGATCAACGGCAACCTCTTTGAACAGGACATTGTGTCTTCTGACCTTGCTTACTTAAGGCTGGCTCGGCAGCTTGAAGATGGGCCTCGAAGGGTCAAGGTGACTCACCCATTTCTCCCCAGAGTGTCCAAGGTGCAAAGCAATGGGCCCGTCAGCATATGTTTGGAAGCAGGGACATGGAGGGCCTCTGAGAAAGCAGCAGCTGCTATCCAGGTCCCAGACGATATTTATCACAATCCTTCCTGGGAAGCTGGAGAGTCCAATTTCAGCCCAGACAGGTCAGTTGAAATAAGTGACTCCACGCATCCTTTGGGTGACATGTGTCCAGGCGATGGAAGAAATGGGATACCATCAGATTCAGAAAGACCCCTCTCCTGCTTAAATGCCTCCAGCAGTGCCAACCATATGCCAGGCACTGGGAAACTCAGACCTGAATTGCTTTTGCCCAAAGACAACTCCAATGACAAAGACCTTGGTCCACTGTCATCTCAGTCAAAGGAAACGTGCATTCCCTCACCTCCACGGACTCACAACTCCCCCTCCCCAGGCTCCCACACCCAGCAGAGCCACCTAGGAAGAGCCTTGGACTGTCCGTCATCTAGTAACAGTCAGCAGGATCTGGTGTCACTGAAAACTAACAGTGCATCCAAACCTGCCCCCATGTGTCAGGAGCAGATGGCGAAGAACCCCATATCGGCAGACATCCTGGAGTTTCAGAACTGTCCAGGAAGTGACCACCTCCCATCCTCTCTTCCAAGGAGTGAAAGCAGACTTCAGAGCAACAGGGAGATTAGTGGCATTAGTCAAATTCACCTGGCTCGGGGTGAACTCTGCGACCTCCAAGGCCGGCTGCAATCTGTGGAGGAATCTCTGCACTCAAACCAAGAGAAAATTAAAGTCCTTCTGAATGTAATTCAAGACTTGGAGAAAGCACGAGCTCTCACTGAAGGGTAAGGTGAATTTTTTTTTTTTTTTTAATATTAGAACTGATAGGTGAAGTAATTTGTGAGGACAAGGGCAGAGAGAGAGGGAGAGTTTCTGTTAATAAAATATCTCCAAAATTTGAGGTTCTGTTGTTTCCCCATTGTCATCCACAGCCTCCCTTGTCCTCTGACTGGGTTTCAGTTACTTCTAGGCTTTGATGTATTTGTATAGATTTCCCTTGCTGTTTGGTTTTGTTTTTGGGTGTCAACAGACTAGGGAGAGGGGCAATGATGATTTTTATGAAGATGGAGTTGCAGCTGACAAATGATGGAGGAAAATGATAGCAGGCCTGTGCTTCTCCCACCTCATCCTCTTCGTGAGTCACTGCATTTGCACGGCATTTTAGTTCTTCATGTGTTTGTCACAAAGATCTTGCAGTGGCTACTAAGCTTACTGCTGACCTTCCCCTTCAATGACCACTTTGATGATTTAGGCCAGCCCATCATTGACCAATTAAATAGGTACTGAAATGAGATCACAATTCAGTAAACAGAAAAAAAATATATATTGGAAAATGCGTTCCAGGGTGACTCAGCAGCAGTCTGGGGAGAAGAAGGCAGTTATTTGTTTAAGTGAGGAATGTTCCTCCCTCCAGAAAGTGTTCTCTAAAGACAGAGGAGCAGTGGCTAAAGCTCATCCAAAAGAGTGGGAGGGAAAAATAATTAACTGGCCTTTGCTGCTGTGAGTTATCATCGTTAGTTACGTTGCCTTATAACAGAGAAATGCTCTGATGATACAGGAAGAGACACACTGAACCACGGGCCAGGCCTTTGAAAAATCTCCCTCTACGCATTTGCAAAAACCTTCATCTCACAGGATTATTGTCAACGAGAACAATCTCTCAGATTTGAAAGTGTTTAGATGTGTGTATAAAACCCACTAAAAATGTGAGGTCCTACTGTCATGACTTTGTTTCATTCTTCAGAGTAGCCAAGCAACTTTAGAGTGTCATGAATACTGTATTAAAGGGACCACAGAAGAGGCTAGTGGGTAGAATGCACATGTCCCAGGTGACTTTTACCCATTACCCAGAAATGCTCTGTCTTGCAGGCGCAACTTCTATCGAACTGGCCAAGATCTCAACAACTGCAGCACCTGCCAGAATACGGCCTGCATCATATACAGGTACCTGGCACAGCCGAGACCTGCCCTGTAGAGTGGGCATGTTGAGGGTTGCACAGAACACTCTAGTACTCTTAAAATGCAGCAAGTCAAGAAAAAGTCAGGAGACTCTGAATATCTGAAACTTAAAAAACAAGGCATTTAAACTAGGAAACGTTAACATCTGGTTCCAAGGCTAGGATTATTTTGTTGCCCAACACAAGGTCTATGAGCAAATCCTTGTGATGTAATCACGTCTATACTTCTTGAACACTAAGTACAGGCGCCATGGTGAGCTCTGCATCTATATTTGCATCTCATTTCACAGACTTTGCATGGCAGGTGATAGGATCCTAACAAGTGATGGCATTTGGCCCTGCTCACATAGAGCTTGTTCTGAGAGTGGAAGTTGCCAGACTCGGGACTCAAATCCAGATTTTTCTAATCCTAATCCTGTGATCTTAATTACTTCACCACACTGCCTCTTTCTCAACAGTAGGCACCCCATGCCAAGAACTTACTACATGTCAAGAACTGTGCTAAGTGCTTCATTTTCATTTTTAAATCCACCATTTCCTTCCAGCTTTGGGAAAGGCTGCTGCAATAAAGTTGATTTTTATAAGTGATAATAGGGAACATACAGTGGTAAGATTTGGAGTTAAGAGATCTGTGCTTTAATGCCCAAGTCTGGTGTCAGCTCACCTGACCTGGGCTCGGTTTCTTTATCTGTAGAGTGGGAACAAATATCCCTATTCAGAGTTGCCATGAGGACGTACTGAGATTGCACAATGACTGCCGTTTATAAACGCATACCTCTGTACAAATCCCAGGGCTTGTAACTCTTATTACTAGAAAGATCAATGCCCCCTTAGCTGGAAGCCCTCTTTTAATGGCACACTGGGAAAGTGATCAAAAGCAGTCATTTCCATTGATGACATCTAATTTTGTTTGACTAAAGTGTACCGTTTTGCTTTCCCTAGAACTGTTCTCTCTCTGATATAAGAACAGCATTCAGGGTCTGAATAAATGGGAGCCTGGTTTTGGTTTGCATTTGCCTTCTTTAGAAATTTCTCATTCTCTCTGGCAGAATCCTGAGATTCCATACTAATAAGGGATTGTGTGCCTGGAGTCAGGAGGTATTTGCACTTAGGCAAGACCTTGGGCATTTTCTCATTGAACCTGTCAATTCCTTACACCAAGGAGATATAGAACCTCAGTGCTTTCACCAAATAAGGGAAGAGGCATGTCTATCCACAGAAAAATACCTTTCAGTTCAATGCGAAGTCTCTCCTGGAAAAGGCTCCCAGTGTTGGAAAGTATAAGTAGGCAGTCTCTTCAATTGCTACCTTTCTGTTCCTTCTTTTTCTATGTTTCCATCTTAACCAAATTTTCTAATTACTTGGAGGACAAAAATTATTAAATGTCTAGACAACCAAAGAAGACAAATCCTATTCATCATCAACAAGAATTAATTTGAAATAATATCCACTTAAATTTTAGATAGCCTCTTTTCAGCAGCTAGATGGTGTATTTTCTATTACCTTGAAATGACTTTATTTGGCTTATGTAAATAAAAGGCAAATGGTTATTTCCCAGCCTACTATGAGTTTCATGACCTGATTTTGGGCAAGTCATTTCTGGTCTCTGGGTTTTCTTGTCTGAAAATAAGGGCCATTAATGATATGGTCTCAATGGTCCCTTTTAGTTCTGACATTATGATATTCTAAGCTGAATTCAAAGTGACAATATTTGGCTAAACTATGACCTTCCAACAAATCTGAGACTGTTTGAATTTTTCTAGTGCTTGCTTCAAACATCCCAAGCAAACATTCTAAATTAAGTTACACCCCTGATGGGTTAGAAAACACCTCAAACACCACCCTTTTTAAAAGTACAGCAACTGTATGCATATATTTCTCATCACCATGCAAAAGCAGACTGTCTCCCAGACAGTATCTATATCCTTGTATCTAAGCCATCAGGAAGGAATGGGCAATTAATTTGATGAAAGCAGAGATCAGAACAACATCCCCATCATAGTAACAGTGAGAAGATGACACCCGACATTTTTTTTCCTAGCATTGCAAATGACTTCAGACTTGTGTTTTGTCTTGGAAAGTCAGATCTTAGAAACTAATGAATAAGAGATGTGAAATACTCGTCCCTAGGCCTTATTAAGCTATGGTCTCTCTCCCTGATGGATGACCCAATGCATGTCACTGGACATAATGCACTTGGGTGCCTGATGGATTGCCCACTGGGTCGTCTTCTCTGGAGATGTTGCTGCTAACTTAGCAACACATAAGGGTTTCTAAGTGGTGTTTCATATAAGTCTTATCAGCCAAAGGCTATAGTTATACTCCTTGTTCCTATCAAGACATGTGAGGTCAGGCCAGCTCTGTGGCCTAATAATTAAACCAGTTGGATCCCAAATGGCTGACTATGTGGCTCAGTCTCAAACCCAGAGGTTCCAGAGACACACCAGGCATGGATGTGTATACCCAAAATCCCAAAAGGTGGGAGAAAATGAATAAGAAGACATTGTGGCAATGATTATTCCCCATTTGGGGAGTTTTGTCCTCTCTTTCTCTCTCTGGTGAGCACACATACCCTCTAGAAAAAAAAAAAAAAAGAAGAAGAAAAAGGAAAAGAAAAAAGACTTGTAAGGTCATCTGGTTCTATCCAATCCTTCTCTGTTTCCTAAGCCTCCTTGACTCTCTCTTAACCATGGATCACCTAAATAACTCCTATCTCACCAAGAGAATAGAGCTGACAATTATGTATGTTATGATTGTATGGGACTACCAGGGGATTCTGTACACTTCTGTGGGCTCCAAGGGTAGTGGGTAGGCATTGGCTCTATGTCTCAAGTTGGTTCTAGCTATTTAGTCCCTAATCACTCTAATTACCACTCCTTAGCATCAGTCACCCAAAGGGTTGAGTGAATGCTACTGGTGGTTCCCAAAATTAAATAACACTGAATACTTGGTAAGAAAGTTGTTCTCTTCTTGCATTTATTTCAATGTTTCTGCTTACCTAGAGGGGAAAATTTGAACTTGGTGCTAGAATGTGTTTTACATCTTTCTGATGCTTTCCTATCACATTTCTTTGCAAAGAGAGAATGGGTCTCAGGTTCACAGTCCTGGGCAAGCAATAGTATCTAGCCAGAATGCAATATTTTTTTAATTGAAAAAAACACTTATTTATTTAATGAGAGAGAAACAGAAAGGCACCCTCCCCCATGGGGTATCTATGCCACCATCCATCCCCAGCTTCAGCCAGTCTGGACACAGGCATACAAGCATGCATATTGCATGTGCAGGAAGACCTGGGGATACAGACTCAGGATCTACCTAATGCCTCTGACACCACAGAATGTTGCATTACTTCTGCACCACTGCAGCTTGCCCAGACTGTAATCACATTTTCTTTATTTGTTTGTTTTTACAGATGATTTTAGCTTTGAAAACTAATTATCTTTTTTATTTTATTTTATTTTTGAGAGATTTTTACCATAGGTCATGGGTGCTCACCAAGACAGAAAGCAAGAAATCATCCCCAAGGAAATGGCCACATCACAATCCCTTCTCCTCCATTCTCTTCTCAGGATTTTGGGCATATATGTGCATACACACTCCCAGCATGAGTTTCAAGTCACTGATTCTGGGACTCAAACCATGCACATCCATGTGGTAGTCCAGCGACATAACCGCTACACCATCTACCGGCCCCAATTATCTTTATACTTCTTAATTTATTATTATTATTATTTTATTTGTTTATTTTTTAGGTTTTTGTCATAAGATGTGTGAGGCTCACCAGAGAGTCAGAGAGACAGTGAATGGGAAAGTGAGAAATCACCCTGCAGGGGGAGGGCCACACTGTAACCCATTCTCCTCCTGGGGTTTTAGGCACACACAAACACATGCACCCAGTATAAGTTTCAACCCACTAGATCCAGGACTCGAAACACATTGGCCATGTGGGGGGTCCAGTGCCTCAACCACTACCCCACCTGCTGGCCCCCAAAACTAATTATTACAAACAACGCAGGTCTCCATTTTTGAAAGTGACATGCATTTTTTCCCTTAAGAGAGATAGGGAGAAAGAGAAAGGGGTGGAGATAGATATCTTTGACAGGGTCTTGCTGTGTCACCATCTTCTCATTCTAGCTGCTCAGCTAGGATCACAGACAAGCACAACTACTCCCAGCACACTCAGGCTGGCCTCCTATGCAGTTCCAGCCTCCTAAGTAGTGGTGCTAACCATGTGCTACTGTGACTGGGCCTATACATAGTTTCTAAATTTTTTATAACTGATTTAGAGGGGGAAAAAGTATTAATAGTTGTGCTGCTATTGTGAGGACTCTCTCACAAAACACAAATGTGGTGAATGGATGATTGGAGTTTGAGAAATAGTGCCCTAAGAAATCGGCTCCCTCTCCTCTTCTCAAGGGCATGAGGTCTCCCCAAGCCATGCCCCTCCTTCCCTCACTCCATTCTCTGCTCTTCTAGCCACCTCCCTCAGCATTTCGTCTTTACATTCTCTCTAAAAATAGTCAGCAAAGCCTCTTTGCAGGACATTGACTACACAGATAATGCATTTCTCTTCTGGACATAGCTCCCTTCAAAAATCTGCTTGGTTTAAGTTGTAAAATGCCTCCAGTGTTTTTAAGGGAAAATAGTAGAGGTCTCTCCCAGAAAAAGTTCTCATCTACCATCCAAGCATGTTGCTGAGGAATAAGAATAAAGAGAAAGCTGAAAACTTACCATTTCCATTGGGGGAAGGGAGGAATTGGCCATGTAAGACTGAAAGGTTCTAGAGAAGAATGGGAAGAGGAACAGTTGTTTTCTAGGGTCTACCTGCTGGGCTGCCCTCTTCTCTCTTAGCCATTCTCATCCCTTCAATTGCACTCACAGTGGCCCACATTCCCCTTCCCATTTCCTGAGGAACACACACGCATGTGCACACACCCACATATACACACAAACACGTGTATGCATACGTATTGGGTTGTCAGAAAA